GATTTTGTTTTGCAGGCAATATGAAGGCACTTAAAAGTTCTTGAGATGAAGAGTGAGAACAAAGTGGTCATTAATGGAAAGGAATATTGGGCTTGGATGAAAGAGGAGATATTGAGTGAAGCAGAAGTCTAAGCAGAAGCAACCACTAGACCCTGGGCATGTATAGGCCCAAAGAAATTAATAAAGGACTAAACCAGGGTGGTATTACTGGGGTAGAACAGAAAGCAAATGATTTTGAGTGTTATCATGGAGGAAGATTTGGTGAGTAATAGGACTCTTAAGTAGAGGAATAAAATATGAGGGTTTAAGCTTAAGGGATTAAACACATAATATTACTAAAAACAAGTAAATCAGAAGAAGGGGCTCATTTAAGGAGAAGATAAAAAATTCAGTTTAAAATGTGTTTTCTCTGAGCAGTTCACATTTTTTTCTTCCTTCTCGCCTTCAGTTTTTCCCTTCCTGTCCCTTCCTTCTTTCTTTTTCCTCCCCTCCCTTCCCTTCCCTCCCTCCCTCCCTTCCTTCTTTCTTTCCTTCCTTCCTTCCTTCCTTCCTTGGCAGTACTGGGGTTTAAACTCATGAACTTGCACTTGCCAGATAAGTGCTCTATCATTTGAACCATGCTCTTGGCTTAAATGTTTTCTTTGAAATACAAAAAATATCTAAGTATGTATGTGCAGTGCCTAGGTAAAAAAAGTTGGACTTGGTATTAAAAATGAAATTGTTGTGATATGGATTTCAAATCATCCATATATAAAAGAGAATGGTGACTATAGACACATGGGATTTCTCATGGAAAAAGTTCAGAGGGAGAGCAGTGGAGGTACCACAAAGAACCTTTGGATATGAACAATCTATTTCTGTTCTATTGTTTTAATAATTCTTGTCATTATCTAAATTTACATTGCTCAAAATGTGCTGATTTGTCTAACATTGATTACATTTTTTTATAGAATATAAGTTTCATGATAGCTTATATTGTAAAACTATTATATCTCCAGTTTATGAAATGGTGCTTGGAACATGGTAGGTGATAAACAATACTCATCCAGGGGCTGGGAAGGTGGCTCAGTGGTAGAGCTCTTGCCTTGCATGCACTAGGCCCTGGGTTTGATTCCTCAGCACCACATAAGCAATAAAGAAAAAAAGTTGGAAGCGGTGCTGTGGCTCCAGTGGTAAAGCGCTAGCCTTGAGCTGAAGAGCTAAAGGACAGTGCCCAGGCCCAGAGTTCAGACCCCATGACCAGACCCCCCCCCCAAAAAAAAAATAGTCATCCAATGGATGGATGGATTGATTGAGAAATAATTCTCAGTTCTTCAAATAACCTCACTGTGACTCTAGATAATTTTCTTAATGAAGGACAAATGTTTTATCAGATAATACATTTCAGAGCAAGATGAATTTTACTTTTTTTTCCATATAGATTACCTTGTGTTTTGATGTGTGACTCTTCAAATATGACTGATGTCCTCTTGGTTTTCATATACTCTTTTTTGCTTTTGTTTTCTCCCTTTTGTGAAATAAAAAAGAGACTCTATTCACATAAATGGAGTTGATCCCTTATATTGTCCATGCAAATTAGTTAAAAAAGAACAAATAAACCTTCAAAAATAAAGCAAAAAATGAATGTAAAATACAACTGTTTCCAATTAGTTATCAGTATGATGATTAAAACTGAACATTCATGATTTACTAAAAATGACAATTCTTAGGCAAATATTAGACATTTTTGAGTCTATTGAACTTTAACCTCTATAATTTTTTGATTATGGAAATTCTCTGATTTCAGTGTTACCCTGGTTCCTATATCTCCTGATTCTGGTCTTAACCTCATACAACTCTAACACAGGTCCAAATAGAGCTCTTTTCTGGTTGAACTTAAAATGGCAGAGAAAAGGCAGTTTCATTCCTTCATCTACCTCTTCTTTCTTTCCACGATTCAGTTTTGGCCCTACCTCAACATTTACCCAAGCATTGAACTTCACTCTGCAATGTAGCTATGTCACTCACATAAGGTCACATGTCCCTGAGGGACAATAGTGAAACAAGATATTAAATCAAAACAGAAAGCTTGTCTTCCAAGCTATGCACAATCTGATGGGGGAAACAAATACACAAAAAATGTAAGTGCAAGGAAATGTAAGTGATGAGATAATACTGGATGGAGACAGAACATGGAATGGAGTAGTCAGTTCTATTGCTCTTGAAGTGAAGGGAAAGAGACTATTAAAAACGGAGTGACTCGATTTTACATAGATGATGTCTTTGTTTTCCAGGCAAATAAAGCACACATTCCAGTATTCCAATCAGATGTTATAGATTAGTTGTCCATGTGAGGGAGATACTGTACAAAGTTGTTAAATGGGAAAGCAGTGGAGAAGACAAGTCTAGAAAGTAGACAGGAACAAGCAGGGTAAGTGCTGGGTGCCACAATATGGAAGTTCTTGCATTATTTACAGACAGTGTTATAGAAGCACTTTAAATTGCAAAGTTACTGAATCAGATGATTCTATTTAAGTCTCCCAGTAATCATGTGTGTTAGGCCAGACTGACATGGTAATGATGAAGATGCTATTGAGTAGCACACTGAGTGGCTAGTCCAGGTGTGAAAGCTTGAAAGGAATGAGTCCACATTACTCATCTACATTTCCTTGCACTCACATTTTTGTGTATTTGTTTTCTCTGATGAGATTTGCACAGTTTGGAAGACAAACATTCTTTTTTTTGTCGGTCATGGGGCTTGAACTCTGGGCTTGGGTGCTGTCCCTAAGCTCTTCAGCTCAAGGTGAGTGCTCTACCACTTGAGCCACAGCACCACTTCTGGTTTTCTGGAGGTTTATTGGAGATAAGAGTCTCACTGACTTTCCTGCCCGGGCTGGCTTTGAACCGCGATCCTCAGATCTCAGCCTTTTGAGTAGCTAGGATTACAGGTGTGACCCACCAGTGCCCGGCTGGGAGACAAACATTCTATGATCTGACTTAATATCTTGGGTTTTCTGAATAGCTCAGATCACAAGCATATATCACCCCCTCCAACCTATTGGTTGAGATGAGGATCTCATTAATTTTCTTTTTTGGCCAGGTGTGACCTCAAACCTTCATCATCCTAATATCAGCTTCCTGAGGAGTGAGATGTGACCCTCTATGCTTAATTTAATTTGATTTTGATATTGAATCTCACTTTTTTCCCAGTTGGCCTTGAACTTGAGGTTCTCCTTGATTCTGTCTCCCTACTAACTGAGATCATAGGTGGGTGTCACAATCTGCTACTCTTAAAGAATAACACTTTAAGCAGTTTCTTCTAGTTTTTTTCTCTTATCTAGTTATCCTACAGACAGAGCCATCTGGAAAGGAGAATTCAACAAGTACCCCTATGTCTGAGGCCATAGAGCATGATGGTTTAGCCCCTAGGTACTGATATGAGGTAGAATAGGAACCCAGCTGATGCATTGGCATTTGTTTTCTAAGTGCAAGTAGCAAATTAGACTTTTGTCTATTTTTTTTTTGGCTTTTGTGAGGGTTACATTCAACAGTATGTGGAAGACTTAGTAAATTGCTTGAACATAGTAATTGTAGTTAGCTATTATGTTCCTTAAGAGAATAAAATGTGGATTATTTTTTGGCGCTCTGTGTGAAAATAATAATAGACAATGGTTAAATATAAATATTGTAAATTTCACAGAGGAAAAAAGGCAAGACTAGTAGAAAAGTCATATCAAACTCAATATAGGTGACACTCTATATGTTTAAAACAAATAAATAAGTAACTGTTAAATTCAGATATTTTTGTTTTGACATAATTAGAAGGAAATCAAGGTGTTTTGTGAAGTAATGCTCAATATAACCCTCCACTTCTCTCCACACAGAATAGCCAACATTAATCAGAATGTCAAGTAATCACGATGTTACCCATCCTCTAGACTCATTTAACCTGACTCATTAGACTGTGATACCCTAAGCTCTGGGGTACATTTCCACTTCATCTTGACATCTCTCATCTAGCTTTCTCAGACAGGTAAATAGCTATCAATCTAAAAATCTTACATACCTCTTTTGGGTAATTCTAATAAGCATAGATAGTGAAATATTGCTCTTTTCACTATCACTTTGGGCTTACACATTATTAATAATGATAAAAAGAATAGCCACTTCTACCAAAGCTAAAAAGCAGTTACTATTATCTCCATTTTACAAATAAATACACTAGAACATAAGAAAAGATTTGTCTAGAGCTGGTTTCTTCATCTTGACACGGTGGATATTCGGCAGCAGAGAAATCTACAGTGTAGGCAATTATTTGAGCATGCTTAGCAGCATTTCTGGACCTTGCTAGATGCCAATGTAGCACCCACAGCTACGATGACCACAGCTATCCCTAGACATTGTCAAATGTCCCCTGGGTAGCAAAATTGATTCTTGTGGAGAACGTTTGTTCAAGGGAATTTCTTGTTAAAATGTGATTCCCTCAGAGCCGAATGTCTGACTTAAATATTTGAGAAGGGATGCATTGCGCATGATAGTAGAAGTAAAAACCAGCAATAAAAGTCCTTTTTAGGGCTGGGAAGGTGGCTCAGTGGTAGAGCACTTGCCTTGCATGGATGAGGCCCTGGGTTCGATTCTTCAGCACCACATAAGCAAAAAGAAAAAAGCTGGAAGTGACACTGTGGCTCAAGTGGTAGAGCGCTCGCCTTGAGCTGAAGAGCTGATGGACAGCCCCCAGGCCCAGAGTTCAGGCTCCACAACCGTACCCCCCCAAAAAAACAAAAACAAAGAAGTCTTTTTTAGCTTTTTCAAATTTCTAATATAATCTTCTAAATACTAATCTGCCTTCTAGCAAATACTTGCAGAATGCATAGAAATACAGAGGATGTGACTTGAACAACACATAACCCAGAGGATAGCAGGTCCCACTTGGAGGCCATCTTGTGAATAACAGCAGTTGTTATCTTCCATTACCAAGTAAGCAATGACAAGAATAAAAGTCAGGATGGGAGCAAACATACCTGGCACGTGGATGGGTGTGAGTAACTGCTCAGATGAGAGAATCGTTGATTCTCACTGTTCTCTTCTATAGGTGCAACCTTGTTCAATTTGAGTGAGGTCCACATCTTAGAAATCACTGTCTCTTTTTATCACTGTGTGTCTCAAGGTAGAGATATGTACTCTGTTTTCCTTTTCCTTAGTAGACAAGCCAATTAGTGGTTTAATCAGGATTTTGTTCTGGCTAATTCCTACAGGCAACTCCCTAGCCAGTCAGGGCTTAGGCTTAAAAGCAGTAAATCACTTCTGCTTGGGTGAATCACACAGAACTTTTGATAATCAAAATGCCTCTGTGAATCATGTATGAGGAGAGGATAAAACAAATCTGTATGGTTGATTTGCTTAAATGTGATCATGCTATTGCTTATGTGTTTTCTTTCCAATTACTTATCCATCTTTATGTGTATAAATCTAAACAAATAATACATGCAAATGATTAAAAACAAAACATGCCCAGAGGTTCTTCTAGTCTTGAACCACTATGTGGCTATTTTTAAACTTCCTTTAACTCTTCTGCTCATGGTTGATCCAGGCTGCTGAAAAACATTCTTAATCTATGTGGTGTGTGTGTGTGTTTGTGTGTGTGTGTGTGTGTGTGTGTGTGTGTGTGTGTGTGTGTGTGAATATGGGTATTAAACCTTTGTGAGGGATAGGTAGAAGATCAATGATTTTTTTAATTAAAATTTTTTTATTGTAAAGGTACTGTACAGAGGGGTTACAGTTACATGAACAAGGTAATGAGCCCATTTCCTGTCAAGCATTGTTACCTCCTCCTTTGTTTTCCCCTACAGTCCCTTTCCTCCCCACCTCCCCAACTCCTCCCTCCCCTGCCCTCTCCCCACAAAGTTGCAAAGTTTGTTTTCAATACAGTGTCTTGTCCATCTCATTGTTACAATGGGTCATCCTGTATCTTTATTTCAGCATTTTGTTATTTCCCTTCCCCTCCCCAAGTTAGAAAAATGTATATACAAGATGTGGGACACTGGAATCAAATACAGTGACAATGGGGGTTGTACCATGGGGAAAGAATATACAATGAAACAAAAAAAATCAAATAGTACATTATAAGTAAATTAAAAATAACAACAAGAAAGATAAAATCTCTTATGTCCCTATCTTGGGGTTCATTTTGCTTAGCATCAGGTTATATGGTTATATGTACATAGCTTTTGACCTCTTCTGCTTATCCTAGACATATACTAGTTATTGCCCAAGATAAGGGAAACTATGGGACCTATGTTTCCTTGGGTCTGGCTTGCTTCACTTAATCTTTCCAAGTCATTCTTTCTGATGGAGGCATAGAATTCTAATACACACACACACACACACACACACACACACACACACACTGCATTTTCTTGATGCATTCATCTACTGAGGGGCATCTGGGTTGGTTCCGTATCTTAGCTATGGTGAATAATGCAGCAATAAACATAGTTGTGCTGGTAGCTTTAGCATGGTCTTGTTTGTGATAGTTTGGGTAAATGCCTAACCCACAGACCTATAGCCACCTAATCTTTGATAAGGGAGCTAAAAAACAGAATGGAAGAAAGACAGCCTCTTCAGTAAATGGTGCTGGAAAAATTGGTTAAACACCTGTAGAAAACTAAAGCTAGATCCTTGTATATCACCCTGCACCAGAATCAACTACAAATGGACCAAAGACCTCAAAGTCAAAGCAGATACCATGAAAACATTACAGGAAGAAATAGGAGAAACTCTAGGGCTCCTTGGCACAGGCTCAAATTTTCTTAATAAAGACGCAGAAAAACAGCAAATCAAAGAAAGTTTGGGCAAATGTGATTGCATGAAACTGCAGAGCTTCTGCATAGCAATAGACATAGCAAGCAAGATCAATAGAAAGCCCATGGATTGGGAGGAGACCTTCACTAGCTATACAACGGACAAGGGTCTCATAAAAAATATAATATAAAAGAGTCTCTAAAATATACTTAGAGCTCAAACAACCCTCAAAACTCAAAAACTCAAAAAAAATCCCCCAACATCAAATCCTCAAAGAAACAACTGCCTTATTAATAAGTGGTAATAAGTGGACGAAAGACTTTTTTTGTGAGAATACTGTACAGAGGGGTTACAATTACATGGGCAAGATAACGAGTACATTTCTTGTCAAACATTGTTGCCTCCTCATTTTTTCCCCTTCCCATCCCTTCCCATACTTTCTCCTTCTCCCCAACCGATCCTCCCCACCCCCACCAAAGTTGTAAAGTTCGTTTTTTGACATAACGACTTGTACATCTCATTGTTGCAATGGGTCCACCTGTATCCCTAGTTAAA